TCTTTAAGACTCAGCTTCTGGAAAAAACGGTTGTTCCACTGGATCAGGGATCAGAGGTTAGGGCTTGGTTCCTGTCACAGAGGAATGATGCAGGATTGAGACCAATGTGCTGGCTATTCCTGAAAAAGTCTGTGTTTGTCCAATTCTGTTTATTATGCAAAGACCGATTCCATGCAAATAACACTAGGAAGTTTGTGACCCTCCTAATGCTGTTTCTTTGCTCCTTGCTGCTGGAGTGTGGGGCCAGAGTACTAAGTGCAGAATATAAGAGAGTGGGTGAGGCAGGAGAACAGAGACAGAATGAGATGCACAGTCAGGGCTGGGGCCAGAAGTCAAGGAGAGAAGAAGTTAAGAAGTTGGGGAAGTGTGATGAAGGAGGAAGGCGTCTTGCATCTGTACCTGGGCCAGATGGGGCAGAAGGAAATGTGCCATGCAGCAGGGAGATGGGGAGATGGAGCACACTCAATAATGTTCAGTGTGGTATTACATCTCCTAATGGGACAGCACTCCTGTCGGGTGTCTGTCCTGTCTTTAACAGCAATGAATAAGCAACTGACACATACCTAAACAAACACTCCAGTCCTCGGCCAGACTGTACTTTTGTGGGCTGCAGCTGAGCATGGCAAATGGAAGTACCTATGCATGAGAGTCAGTCCCAGGGGCATGCACACCTGCACGCAGCACCCCTGCACCCTGCCCGGCACCCCTGCACTCCTGCATACCTGCACTCCTGCACAGGCTTGTCCAGCACCTTCCCTTTCTTTCGTAGGACTTGATACAGAGAGGGTAAAGGCAGGAGGATGGCACCCTGGTACCTCTCTGCTACAAATTGCACTCATGGGCTTGATGCACATTATTCATCAATTATGCCTGGCTAAGGAGGCAGCAGAAGGTGCACTGCAAAGGTAGCTCCTCCTTTATGATTAGAGATGGACATGAACAGTCCATACTGAGCCACTTGTCAGTACCGTCAGTTTAGAGAAAGGGGGAAAAGGAGGGGAAGAAAGGAAGAACTGAGAATAAAGGAGCAGAGAAAAGATAGGGAGGTGATTGAAGGGTATGGAGGGGGAGGGAGGGGCGGGGGAGGGGCGTTGAGGGGAGGGGATGGGAGTGGAGGGGAGTGGAGGGGAGGGTGAGGGGAGGGGCAGGGGAGGCGGGGGGGAGGGGAAGGGGAGGGGAGGGAGGGGAGGGGGGGGAGGCGGAGGTGAGGGGTAGGGGAGGGGAGTTGTCAGTAATGAGAAGGGAAGGGACGGGTGTGTCGAAACTGGGGAGGGACGGGCAAGTGGAATTAAGGGAAGGGAAGTGAAGGGACGCGGAAGGGACGGTAAGTGGAAGGTAAGGGAAGGTCGAGAAGGGCATGGACGTGAGGGAAGGGAAGGGCCGGGAAGTAATTTCCCTTTGCCTGTCATGGAAGGGCCGTGGAATTTCCTTTCCTTTCCTTTCCTTTCCTTTCCTTTCCTTTCCTTTCCTTTCCTTTCCTTTCCTTTCCTTTCCTTTCCTCTTTGCTTTAGCTTTTCTTTGCCTTTTTTCTTCTTCTCCTTCTTTTTCCTTTTCTTCTTTTTTTTCCTCTTTTTCTTTTTTCTTTTTCCTTTTTCCTTTCTCTTCTTCTTCTTTTTTCTCTTTCCATTTTTTCTTTTTCTTTTTTTTTCTTTTTGTTCTTTTTTCTTTTTTGTGATGTCTATTCACAATTCCCTATGCAAAATTACCTATCTTACAAAATCAATACCTCACTCCTCCTAATAATCATAAGCCTCTCTCCTTTCCCTGCTGCAACTGCTCCTCTGGGTGGCAGGCCCAGGAAGACAGCCAGGACACCACAATCCCCGAGGGGAGCTGGCTCATCCTTCTGTAATCAAAAGGGCACGTTAATTACAACACTTGCCCAGAAAAAGACACACAGTGACTGCCAGTTAGAGAACACGGATGCATTCAAAGCCACCAGCAGCATTTTCCTCCCTTCCAAGAAGGGACCAACCTTTAAGCCCTAGCTAGAGCTTGTCGTGAACCTAAATAGGACTTCAAAGGGAAAGCAAGAAGGATCAGCAGCTCCTGACCCAAGGAGGAGACAGGGCAGATACATTTCCCCAGAGGCAGGCAACACACGGGGGAGGTGCAAGGGATTATTCAGACTCTCTTTCACCCTCTGTCTCCTCCCCTCCTTCTCCTCTGCTGGGGGCTTCTATGGTAAAAACACTGGAAGAGGAGATGGGAAGTAAGAAACATCACCCTAAAACTCTCCAACATCAGACTGTAAGTACAGGGGCACATATATGTGTTTAAGAGTTTTATGCTGCATTCTTGCAACTGTGGCTATACCGAAGCAAAAACCTCTGAAATAAAGTGCAACCACAAATACACAAATACAAAGTCCTATCTCACTTCCATTCTTCCCTTGACATATCCCTTTTAACCCTTCAAAGTGTTCATTAAAAGAGTATTCCTTCATGCTTTGTTAATTTTCTGTTATTTTCAGAAAGAGAAATAAGTATCTGTGGTGAATTATGTCCAGAGCTTGTTTTGCAAACTCCTTGTAGAGAGGATACTCTTGCAACTGGGCAGCAGCAGACACTCTCGTCATGCCCAGCACTGCCATACTCTGCAGCAGTTCCTGTCCTCTGCCTCCTTCCCTGGATTCTGCATGAACAGGTTGGGATCTGTGTCTGTCTGTCCCAGACGGTCTAGTCTGTTTGTCAGGTGGGCAGCTACGGAACACAAGCAGGTGCTAACCTCTGCATGACACTCAGAAAGGGCAGCAGGAGGATCTGCTCTTCAAGCTGCAGGGGTGGGAACTCACAGCTCTGCTCTTTCAGTGTGTGACAAGCATGTGACATGTAATACACACGTAATGTATAAGAAGGGTTTCTTTTGTATTTCCAGATTTGCTGCAAGCATTCCTGATTAAGGAAGTAACAATCTATGATGCAAAGAGGAATAAAACAGACTTCCAAAATGGCACAGAAGTCATTTGCACTGTTGCTGCATTAGGAGCTGTGGCTCCAGCCCTGCAGACTCATGTCCAAACCTTAAAGGTAGGTGCTGTGAGCAGTCCTCCAGGAGTCAGAATGAGCAAAACTGCAAGGATTAGCCAAAACAGGACACGTGTGCTTTCAGACTGCAGTCCATCCAGAGTAGGAGCATTTTTAAAAAGTTGTTTGCACACCTAACGCCTTGAGGCACGATCTTGGCTTTGGTGTTTGGGTGCTTTCATGCTACAATAGTAAAAAAGAGTACCCACAGAACAAATGTCGAAACCGATATTAATGTATTCATTGCACAAATTTTCATGCTTGAATATGGTCAGGGTCAAAATGTATTGTAAATACCAGTGTAGTAAATGACTGGTTTATGCTTATACGAGTATTGCCAAATGTATTGGGCTGCATTGCTCAGCCCTCCTCATTTAGAATTGCAGAGGAGAGAGGGGGGAAAGGAAAGAAAAAAGAAACAATTGTGGTGAAGCACAACCAATGACAGAGTCAGATTTATCTTTTTGTAAAAAAAACCCATTTAAAAACAGCCTGAAAAAACACTCAGGCAAATGCTCATAGAATGATCCTGTTAACTTCAAGTCTCTGCAGCAATAAAGTTAAACACCATTTTTAGTTACTTTTCTCCTGCAAAGTCCTGATGCTTTCTTCTTTGATAGACACTTCAGAATATTTTTGCTTTAAGCAGTAATATAATTTCTGGGGTCCTTCCCTTACCCTTTGCAGCTTTTCTGGACTCTGGCTATTTGGAAGGTGAGGACAAAACACTCAGCGGTATCTGGCTGAGGAAATCACAGCAAGTCCCCTCCTGCTATTTGCTGCGCACTGGCCAGGGATGCTCTGCACACATTCTTCCTTGTCAGCTTCTCACAGTATGTGCTCACACTGCTTTATCATACTCTTTCTATTAGGCTTCCTAATCTTTTCCAGAAATTGAGTTATCCTCAAGCTGAGACCTAGGAGAGGCAAATTTCATAACTGCACTTCTGACACATAGTGAACATTATGTCAGCTTATGTGAGAGTGTTGGAAGGCAAAAACTCTCATCACAGCATAAAAGTCCATTTTTTACTGCTTTTCCTAGTGTCAGAGGGGTAGTGTTAGGACTGTCCTCTTATATGCTTTGAACTTTGTCAGCCTCCAAAGACATTACATTGAGAAAAAAACCCAGAAAAAACACAACACAGTAGTGTTCAAATCAGATGTTTTGCCTGTAAAAAAGTCAGCTTTTAAGTATAGGGTAATCTCTATTTCTACCCTGTTTCATTAATTATTCATCACTCGATAATAACATTTTAATTTACCAGTGCAATAGCAACGCTAAATGCTATAGTCCCCTCTTCTAGCAGCTTCATGGAAAAATATCTGCTACTATGGAGAGCCCCTTACAGATCTTACAGATACACCACACACTAAAATGTAGCACTGCAATAGTCTCGCATTTTTTGTATTTTGTATTTATCGCTGTATATTTTACTCACTAAGAAAATATTTTCAACTGTTAGGATTTCTATTTATCTTTAACACAAAATAATAAAATAACTCACTTCATCCATGTGAGAGATCCTTTTTCTTTTTCATTCTGAAGTTTCCAGTTTGCCTCATTTCTCTTATTTAGCTTAATTCTGCATAAAAGTACACAGGGTGAAAGAAGGAGATACCTTTAATATAGCTTTCCTACTGTTAAATAGCTATCTTATTCCCTCTTTTAAAAAAACCAAAACAACTACTAAAGTGACAAAATGACAGCAACAAGTGGACAAAGAGAAGTGTTAGAAGCAACTCAGACCTCCTGTCCATCACATGCTTTTCATTCTGGTATTCTCTTTAAAGGTTGTTGGATTGAAGATGAGCCATTCTTCTCCAGACTCCATTCTCCCCCTGCTTTAAGGGGGTTTTACTTTCACCAGAAAATGTTTATTGTAAAAAAAGAAAAAAACAGAACACAAAAAAACAACAACAACAACAACAACACACAACAAAAAAAAAAAAAAAAAAAAAAAAAAAACCAACCAAAAAAACCAAACACCACCCCGCTCCCCCAACCAAACAACTGTTATACATCCAACGCAAATGTTGTGCCAAACTCTAAGAAGTGCCACCTTGGTTTTCATCTTTCTGGGATTTGAGCAGTTGTGAGCGGAACAGCTGCATATCTATAAGCCCAGGGCAGGTGGCCCCAGCCAGACACTTGCCACTCACAACCACAAAGCTGAAAAATCTGACCAGTTCCTTGACAGTCTGAAAATGTTTGTGAATTCCAGTTTCTTCTCCTTTTACTTTTCTATAAAGGAAAGTAAAAATCCAGTTCAAAGCTGCTAAGTAGCTTTCCCATGTTTGCACTCAAGAAATAACTTTCGCTGCCATAAAAAAATATTCACACCACTAAAAAAGAACCCCCACAATTTTCTCCGTTCCTTGTATGAAGGCCAGTCGTTTTGCATCACCATCCATGATGTCATTTGACTCTTTTAGAGTAGTCTGAATTCAGGTCTCGGTGTGGGGTCTGCTTAAATGGAAGTTCAATGTCTTTGGCTCTCCTCTTGCATCAGAAGGATTTTCCTTTGTGAAACAAATCTAAAATATCGCCCTTGCAATGCCAGGTCCTTTTAAATCCCGTTGTCTTTACCAGAACTGCGGGGCCACGGTGGGCTTGGAAAAGGGCAGGGGGGAATCTGAGAGTCTTTGAGTCAGCACATCAGCTCAGAAGGGATCCACCACAGAAGGAGTAACGGCGAGCTGCAAACCAAGATCAGAAGCTGTTACAAACTGACCCGATTTCAGCTCTGAATGCCACCATGCCTAACAGGCAGAGAGCTACAGGGGATAGCCAGGGGAAGAAGAGTGAAGGACAGCTCTAAAACCAGTACAGATCCTTGCTTTTATCCTGAGTCTGCAAACCTGAGAATGGAGAGAAGAAAAAAAAAGGGAAGAAGAAAAATAGGTACAGGCGTTTAAGGACAAAGGAAAACAAAATGCATTTCTGCCAGCTGAGATCAGTCTAAAGCACGGGGTCTCTAGAGCCCCAGAAGGCTATGAAGCAAGGAGAAGAGCCCAAGCCAGACTGGAACCTGGCACACGTCCCTCCTGCTGTAAATGAGGACACTGAAAGGATCCGTTAGGGGCTGTGATAACAAAACCAGCATGGAGCAAGCTTTCCTTGCCTTCACAACCACTGATTCAGGATCTGCCACTGCTAATTGCCTGTGTCCCTGATTTTATCACTGCTACAGTCACACAGCCTTGGTTCCAGACACCCCACCAAGCACTACCGGGGGAATGCCATTGCCCTTTTTGCTCAGCAAATGCAATTGGGCTTTCATTTGAAACACTTGAGGGAAAAAGTAAATAAGGAGAGGAGATAGTTCATGAACCCGTGTGGGGTCTAAAAATGACCTGCTCTGCTGTGGCTGCCCACACTACTGCCCTCAGTGCAGCATATGGAGGGGGCCAAGAAGTGACCTTTAGGGCTGCTTCATCCTGCTCCTAGCTCTTGCTGCTCAATGCAGAAGCAGGACCAGGGCCCAGACAAGAGTACCTCAAAGCAGCCTGTACCCTCAGGGCATGTTTGCAGGCATCAGAAATTCAAATGATGTTTTGGGGATGTGATATATTGGCCTGTCCCATCCTCCCTCTCCCCATCCTCTCTTGTCTGGCCTGAGAACCCCAAGAAGAGCACTCAGGACAGAGCTCAGGTGTTGCATATGGGGCCTCCACCCCCAATTTATTCTCCCACAGCAGCATCCCAGCCACCCCCCAGGGTGGTCCTTCCCTACTACTACGGATGGTGTGGAGTCAGGGAGCAGGGATGCAGCTGACTCAGGGAACTTGTAGGCACCAAGGGCAGCTCGTTACCTGTGTCAACATTGAGGCTGATGCTCTGTGCCATGTCTCCTGCTGCACTGGGGAAAGGGCCCGGTGTCGTCCAGGCTGCAGCAGCGCCCGCTTCGCTCTTGCCTAGTTCACAGGGGGGACTGACTGGAGTGGACACGGAGGCGGGGGTGAGGCGGTGGGGGCGGACGGAGGCAGTGGGCACCAGAAGGGAGCCGTAGCGGGGGTCAAAGTGGGGCCCGTAGACCTCGTGCATGGTGGCGGGGCGAGGGTAGGCAGTGCTCTGTGTCCCAATGTAGGGGTGGTGGTGGTGGTGGTGGTGGTGGTGGTGGGCATGGTGCCAGGGCTCAGGGCCACCCTGGTGCAGGTGGCCATGCAGGGAGGCAGGTGCGTAGGGGTCGGTGGTGGTGGCGAAGGGCAGCTCGCTGTGGGCAGCAGCTGCCAGGGGGCTGCTCAGGCTGGCTGGGACTGAGGAGGGCTGGTACGTGCTGTTCCAGAAGGACGGCGGGAAGATGCGCTGGCTCATTGGGAAGGAGCCATCTGGGTGAAAGAAGTGGAAGAGAAAGTCAGCAATGAGCACACCCAGCAAGCCGTGATCACCTTTCCCTAGGCCTCTGTCCCTCCCTGATCCAACTAAACCAAACCTTGCATTCCCTTTATTCCCTGAAAAGCTACCAAACACAAGAACTTGCTGCAAACAAACACAGATTCCTCTCCAGCTAAACATCCAACACACCTAGGCTATGGTTTATCCCTGAAGCTGCAACTATTTGCTCCAGGTTTCTCTTAGTATGTAGGTGGGCAAAAGGCTGTTATCTAAGGTGAAGGAAACATTTCTTCCATAGTGGAAACTGAGTGAGAGCTATTATACAACACTGAAATTTTCAGGGTTGGACTTTTCTTGTTTGTTTTTGTAATAATCTCCTTGTATAAACATTTATGTCCAACACCTCCAGGAAAGCAGCTGCTGCCTCAGTGCAGTTTCAAAGTAATCAGGAACAGTGAGAGTTGACTGAAGGCCAGCTTGAATTTCCTTAATTTTCTGGGGGCAATTGTCCACCTATTACACCAGACTTATGCCTGTTTCTTAGGTATACAGTCAACACGTTTGGGAAGCACTCTGTAAACCTTTGGAGATATACGGGAGGCAGGGCAAAGGACAAGGACCCTACATTTTCTTAGCCCAGTAAGTAACACGCAAGATGGACTGGTGATTATTAATAGTATAGGTAGATGTTGCGCATGATTAATTGAGAATGCGCATGGTTCCCAAAATAAATAAATAAAACCATGCTCCTGATACACGTTTGCCAGGGAGTATGTCAGCTCTGAGCCCTGGCATTACTCAGTAGAAGGGGAAGAGGTTCATGATGAGCAAAAACACTCTTTTCCTGCCATCAGTTGAATATCTTTCACACAGGAATTATTTAAACTATTTCATTCTTAGACATTACTGACAGCAATTCATACAAAGGCTGGGAAACCAGCCTTGGCTGAGCAGGTGGCCCTGTGAGGGAGAGTTACCAAAACTGCCCACAAAGAAATGCCAGCCCTAACTCTCTGGTGGAGAGAGGATGGGGAAGGTTATTCCCTTCTGCCCTGGGTACCTCTAGGCCTGTCCAGAGTGAATCAGCTGTGCATAAGCCCTGGCCTTAACCTTAACGGCATATGGCCACAGCCATAGGCAGGTCTAGAAGCCTTCGTTTTCAGAAATTTAGGGACCTTCCTCCAGCAGCAATCAGGGTGGTGATACATGCAGGGCAAAATATGGGGACAAACACAATTAGTTTTTCAGAGGTGGGAAGCTGATGAGATGGTTCCCACATTTGCTTTTTGCTTTGTTCCCATCATTATGACCACACTAAACTGAAAGCTAGCATCAACAGGGCATCCCCTGCACAGTCACAGTGCAGGGGTCACTTCATAACTGTTTTGGCTGTAGCCCCTTCCAGGTAAAGCACCTGCAGTGTAAAGAAAGTTAATTTCCCCATTCCACCTCCCAGGCTGCTTCCCCCTGGCCCACTGCGCTCCGGCATGAACTGAAGGGCTTTATTCTTTTTTTTCCCTTAAAAGGGCCAAGCAGCTGACAGCTCTCGGCCCGGGACATTGGCTCCCAGGGGCTGCCCGCCGAGCACCAGCCGCCGAGGGGAGGAAGGAGGGAGACGGGATGTCGAGGTCCGAGGTGCCTGCCCGGAGGGGGACCCCGCCACCCCCCGCGCTCCCCCCGCCGCGCTGGGTGCTCACCCCGCCAGGAGCCGGCGTTCCGAGTCGCCTTCGAGCTGCCGAGGGAGAAGCTGCTGGGCTGGCTGAGCGCCCGGCTGAAGTGCTCGTCCACCACGGCGCTGATGTCCCCCTGGAAGTAGGTGAAGAGGACACAGCGGGAGCTGATGTACTCGGCCTCGGGGGGTCGCTCCTTCTCGGGGCTGCAGTCCTCCTCCTTGATGCTGGCCGCGGGGTGGCTGGAGAAGGAGCTGCTGGCGCTGCTGCCGCTCTCCGGGGCTTCTTGCATTTTGGAGTAAAAGGCGAGTTTCTACGAGGAAGGAAAGAAAACAGAGCCGGTCACGCAGCGCATCAAGGTGCGCTGCTCCCCCCTATGCCAGCCGGCGTGCAGCGCTGAGCCCTCTCCCGCGATCTTTCCGAGAGGATGCAAAAATCTAATCCTCGGCTGCCCGCTGTTCCCCCAGCACACACCGCAATCCCACACACCCCCACATCGCCCTCCGTAAGTGCAATTCTGCACCGCCCCTGGGAGGCAGCGAAGAGGCTGCAAACAGAGCAGGTGACCCGAAACCCAGAGTTGCCGGCCGGGATGGAGAAAGAACCGCCGGGCGGGGCTGGCGCGGCCAGGCGGGGATCACACGCCCTGGTCCTCCGCACCAAGCCCGGCATAAGAAGGCACTTTGCAGATGGCTCCGGAGCGGACGGCGGCCGCCAAGGGGCTGCAATGCGGGGGGAAAGGCGACGGGCACGGTCAGACGGCGGCCAGGTACACACGGACCAGCGACGGCAGCGGGGGGAAGGCAAGAGCCTCTCTGTCCCCGGCTCGCAAAATCTGCTGCGAAGAGTGTCCCGTAACTCACAGCGGCGAGGAGAAGGAAAGGGAAAAAAAAAAAGACTCAAACACATTTCAGAGCAAAGCACATAATTTCCCTGGCCAGCAGGAAGCTCTAGGTATTTCCTACAAAATTATTCTGTTTTTACTGGATTTCGATGAGTGGGAAAACAGCGGGCGTTGAAAAGTTTGGTGGATGTTTCCCATCTTTATCTGCGTTAGCATGCCTGCAGGTGCTGGGAGTTTCTTAGCAATAAGCGCTGAGACGTGGAACCCGGGCTTGGATTATACGGGCAGAGCCTTGGAGCGGCCGGCGAGGGAACCACCGAGGGGATGGGGCAAAGCCTTGGGCCAAGACGTACGATATATATCATAATGTCACTCCTTCGCGACGACCGCCTTTCCACTTGGCTCCCAGTTCGGCCATTGAGGTAATGATCATCCCCCTTAATAATGTCATAAGCCGTGTGCCGGGGGGGGGGGGGGGGTGGGGTGGGGTGGGGGTGATTGGAGGGAAGGCAAGGTGGGGGAAGACATCGTCTGCTATTTGTAACGGGAATTGGGTCCCGCTGCCGGGCAATGGAGGCGGCACAGGGTCCCCCCACGCCGGGGGCTGCAGGGAGCGGGGCCGCTGACCCCGGCCCGACTCTGCATGGCAGGGGCTCTCACCCGCCTCGAGCCTGGGGCGCTGCTTCCTCTATCCAGCCCCTTTTTCGTTACGCTGGTGGACAAAGGAATTAATTTCTGGAAGGAGTAAGGGCGAGGGAAAAGCTGGAAACGCAGAGGGGTAAAAGGAAAGAGGTGTGCAACAGGTGCAGCCCGGGGAAACGAGCCCTGACCCACGCGGGACGGTGCGGGTCCTGAAGCGAGCAGATCCCCGCGCACGACGGGCTGTGTCTGCCCGAAACATTCCCGCGGCCGGCAGGATCCTGTTACTGAAAACCGGGGATGAGTTGATACCCCCGCCCGCGCGGGCGGAGCCGCACGCAGCGCGGCGGCGAGACGTGGCTCCAGCCCACGGAGCACCCGCAGGTCTCGCAGGCGACAGCGCCGCCGGGAGTCCCGTGGGGCTGGGGGACGGGCCAGGGTCCTGCCACCGAGCGCGCCCCGGGAGCGCGGAGCATCCCTCAAACCCTGGCCCCTTTCGCTGCCGGGGCTTTTCCCGTCATCGACAAACCGGGGAGACTCTGCAGCCGCCCGGCACTGTCGCCTCCTCCACTTCCAGAGCGTAACTCCGGAGCACCCCTCCGAGGCGGCTATAAAATCTCTGCACAAAGTGGCTCCCGCGGCAGCGGCCGGGATGCCGGCGCGCAGGGGTGAGCAATACCCCGGGTAGCCCGGCCTCGCAGCTACCGACGGGCTAAGCACACCGCGGACATCGCTGCCCCGAGCCGCCGCGCTCGGATGGAGCCGGTCCCGGCAAAGGAAACAGACAAACAAATATTGGAAAACGAACAAACCAACCCCCTAAAAATCCCTCTGAGGGTTAAAATCGCGCCCAAGCTCCCAAGGCATCCCGTAGTCCGTCGGTTGCCGCCGGTGTACGTACCCTGCGGAGCCCTGCTCCAAGGTGGGATGAGATTCTGCTCCGATCACCATCTCAGGCTCCCAGACCTCCCCCCCCCCGCCGCCCCCCTTTCCCCTCCCCTTCTCCTTTTCCCTTTTTCCTTTTGGTGAGGCCCCAGACGGCCATCCTCCAGATGACACCCCTCCCACCCTCTGCCTCTTCACCGCTGCCCCCCACACTTACCTGGTGATAGGGGCTGTAGGCTGCTGCGAAGTAGGGCTGGGGAGGACCGTAGACTTGATACATAACATCCAAACAGCTCATGGCTGGCCGCGGCCGAGAAGTATTTTTTTCGTCATCAACTCGTGTTCTGCAAAGTGGACAATGCTTCGCGGGAGGGAGGTTCCCGGGGGTTAAGAGGCACCACGCACTGGTGGGAGGAGTGAGGGGGGATGAGGCCGCAGTGGGCTGAGCTGGCACCCCCTCCCTGCCCTCTCTCCCTACCTCCCGCCCTTTCTACAGCGTGGCTCCCTCCCGCAAATGCGCTGGGGCCGGAGGGGCTCCGCGGCCGCCGGGGGAATTTCAGCCCCGTGCCTGGCGGGTGGCAAAGGCGGGGGAAGCCAGGGAGATCCCCCCCGCAGCCGGGACTGCCCGGGAGCTGCGGGGCGGGAGGCGCGGGGAGAGCTCCAGCACGCGATGCCCTCCCCGGCCACGCAGGGACCGAGCGACGGCTGCGGGTTGCGGGGGAGATGTGGGGTGGCGGGAGGTGGGGGCTCACACAGCGAGTCAACCCATCTCCCGCTGCGTTTCATTTAATTTCATTTATTTAATTTCTTTTCACGTGCCTCCTGTGCCAGGTGCTGCCCCGCGCCCCCCGGGGAGGATGCCTCCGTCGTTCCTCCTGTCTCGTCGGGCCCCGCTCCTGGCCGGGGAGAAGTGGAGCTCCGGGAAAGGCAGGGATCGGGATAACACCCTCCAAATCCCACCAAGTCCGGCGTCCGCCGGAAAATGCCACTGCCAAAGTCACAGGAGTTGAGAGATCTGATCAATCCAAGGAGGAAAATCCAGTTGCTCCCGTGGAGGAATCTCCCCAGAAACTTTTGAATCATTTCAAATCCTGGGAACCGCGATGCTTTTGCATTAATAGAAATTAAAACAACGCCGATGGCAAAGTCACGTCAAAAGAACAAATTATCGTGAAGGTAAACTTGATTTCCTCCTCGGCTTTCTGCCGAGTGTGACATGTAAAGTTGTAAATAGGTGAATGTATCTTCACTGCTCATTTTGACGGAGTTGCATAGGAACTAGATTACTTTCTAACAGAGATCTAAGTTCTCATTTCAATACCAACTCTTTGAAACGTTCATCTTCGTGGTAAGGGTCACAACTACAGTGAAAAGAGACCCGGGTTTGTTTCTTTTTTTCTTTAGGAATCTGTAATAAAGCAGAAAAAATATAGAACATATGATAGAAAGAATATTACTTGGTCTTCAAACGCTGATTGCTTACAAAAGTATGGGGAAAAATCTGAAAAGAATGAACGCTTTGAATTTTGAAGACCTGGAAATATTTGAACTAATTTTAGCAGAAAATCCTCAGAATTAAAACTAAGTATTGACTCTATTTTGTTTTCCCCAAAATGTAATTTTCATATTGCAAGTGCTAGAAATTGTTCTAAATGCGTACCCTTCACCAAAATGATGTTTCAGTGCCCAATGAGCATGTTTCAATATTTTCTGCAACATGTGCAAGATTTAAAATTCATATTTAAACAAATATTTTTCTCCCTATTTTAGTTTGGTAAATTCATTTTTCGTATTGCAATACAACCTGGAATGCCGTGGCTGAGGGTTCTGCCTTAGCACCACTCTTTCCCCCATCAGCAAATTTTTTGTTGGTGACCAAGAAGAAGAAAACAAGTTGAAGACCTGTAGGTATTAGGCCTTAAAATAAGAAATGTATCTTATACTCTATAATTTTATTTCTCCTTAGCAGTAAGCAAATAGTCACGACACAGGGAAGGACTCACTCTGCGGCTGGTGTCCAAATTAAGGCAGTCAGCTAAAGAACACCCCTCTGCTCCTCACAGTGAGAGACTAACACATCTTACCTGGGACAATGAGATCTCACTTCTCCTCTGTGCCCCTGCTTGTGAGAGGTAGGGAGCTTTCCCAGCCCACACAGATCTGTGCCTATTTTAAAGGTAGCAGTATGCTGGGCGAGGTACCAAAACCAGCCCATTTCTCAGAGACTGAGTCCAATGGACACATACTCCAAAGACACAGCACGCCTTGTACAAGCCCTTCACCAATGACTCTGTGTAATAGCAAAGGTAGGTCCTGACAATTGCCAAGGCTGAACATTTACTTCTTGTGTAGAAAAACCCAGAGAGTAACAGCAACATGTGAGACCGGGTGCTGCATTGAGGCAGATGGTCTAGCTTGTGCTCCCTGGAGAATTTCTCATTGAGGGCTGAATTTAGGGATTTTACCTCACATTCAAGTATGTGTTAGAGGAATCGGGCCTAATGTGGCTTGGTATGAATTCTGTTTCTTTTATAGACAGTTATTTGACGGTAAAACTGTCCAGGCAAGACACGAGTAAACTTTAGTGTCTTAATGCAGAGCAATACAGACATTCATGTGAAAGTGCTGACATTGTTTTACCTCCTCTGTGCACTCTGTGAAATCAGTCCTGGTATAGGAAATTATCCTGGAAACCAAGGGTTAGAAACTATATTCACTAATGATCTCACTGCATATTTGCAATTATATAAAAATAGTTTTCCTTGGTCCTAACTACAGAATTTTAGGTGGATTGAGTGACATAAAGAACTACAAAGCCTTGGAAAGAAACAGCTGAGTTACCTCAGAGAGAAAATTATGACAGCAATAAAGGAAAGCACAGCTTTAGGGAGGACATGGGTTGAGAATTGGCTGTGTACCATTAAAACACTGTCATGGGCCTACTCCTATGACCATACACTGGTAAATGTTTCACAGAAAGTAATATGAAAAGAAAATCTTGGTTTTAGGAATACAGAATGATGGCCTCTGATAAACAGCAAGACGTAGAAAATTACAACTTGCCTCAGAAAACATTTCTATAAAGCAAGTCAGTGTTATCATCTAACTAATCCGGAACTTTTCACAAAAGAAGAATTGTGTATGACTGTGAATGGCTCACCTGACAAGCAAACAGATCATCAAACAAAACATCAACATTCAGAAAGACTAGAACAAAAAAGTCATGGAAACGTGATAGCACTGACCACATTTGTTGTTCACGTTCCCTGGAAATCCTACATCCAGTGCTAGTCTGCCAGCCCCCAGTATGCAAACATTTGAGCATCAAACATCACATTCAATGAAAAGATTAACTATTTAACATCAACATCCAGAACGGACCTTTCTGTTTTTTCGGTCTTACCACATATATAATTCTTGCTGTTCATAATATGCTATTTTAGAAGCTCAGGAAGACTTTTACTGTTTCCAGAAAGGCATGCTTTCTCAGTTAGAAGATATTACGAGATGGATGGACGATCCCACTTCCTTGCTGCAGCCATTTGCCGGTCTGCTTAGCAGGCTTCAGTGTTTCTCACTTCTAGCTTGAGTTGGGCTGGCTTCAGCTTCAAGCTGCTGGTTCAAATAATGCCTTACTTCACTTATCTAAACACTCCTTTCATATGTAATATTTTCTGTTATGAAACTTATTTTATTCCATATAATAATATAATTTTTCCCCTGCCAAAGTAGATGAAGTTCCTTAACTTTCTACAGCAATTCTTCACATCGTTTGTGTACTTTTTTCATTTGCAACCTGTGTAATTTTTCAACATTGTTTTAAAAATATTGGCACAAGAACTTGATATTATCTAGCATTTCTCTTGCTGAAGGCACACACAAAGTAAAATACCTTCTTAGCAGCTGATGCTTATAGCTGTTGTGGTTTTTTTTGCCACAACACGGTTTTAAAGATCTGTCATGCTGATGTGCTCTCCCACTGTGATCACCAGAGTATTTTCAGTTTTCCTTCTAAAAGTATGCAAAAAACATGGACTACTTGGTGATACGGAACTGATGGTACTGGGAAGTTTCTGGCATTTCTTCTAGTTCTTGCATAGCTGACTGAGATTGCAAGTAACTAGGCTGAAAGCTGTAGTGGTCTCATGTGAGCCTATGGCATCTGCTCATGACACCTTGTAGAGTCATACTTTACAGAACCTTTTCCATCACCTGACTTTCTTGGTCCTAGAAGTGCAACTCTTCAAACAGCTCCATTTATGTGCTGTTTCTTCTTGAGAATGCCAAGAGAGCTAGCAATGGGCTCACGTATTTCTGAATGTCCCGTTTCCCACTTTACTCACCAGTCTTCATGCTACTCTACTACCTGCTAAATTTGTTACTGTGATATTATATCAACTTTCAAATTACTGATTAACATCTTGCATTAATTAGTTCACAAACTAACTAATATGACTGTTCCTATACTGTGTTCTCATACTATACTCATATGGGCAGTATTCATATTCCTAAATACTAAAGATTTTTTGTTGACTCATTTCTTGCAATTTTTTTCCATTTCCTGTGTGCATGACTTGTATTGTGCAGTACCTCCTCTATGAGATGATAAAATCGGTTTTAATAGTCTTCCTATTCCTGCTCTCTACTTTACTCTCCAATGTTTCAAACTGCCTGTAGGACTCAACACATAGTTAACTTTCAGTCGAACGCAATACTTATGGGTTTACATGGGTCAAATTTGGCTAAATGAATTAAGAGATAATGCTGTTCCTCTTTCTTATTTTGTCAGTCTTTGTGCTCCATATCCCTAAAAGCTTTTTGTTTCTTGGGGGGCTTGGCAACTGTTACCATGGTGTTCCCAGGGATGTTTTTGAGGTACACCTCTGGGTCTGTATTGATACAGAAGACTCTAGGCTCAAGAGCTGCTGGCTTGGTAGTTTCCATGGGCATTGAATTAACTGACATTAACGATAAAAACCAGCATTAAAAATATAGTAAAAAATAAAGTAAAATTTGGGGGACACATATCACTAACTTCATTGTCTCCTTCACTGTCCTGAAGAACACAGTTTTTCAGCCTTAGAGACCTTGTAGAGTTAGTTTTAATATTTCTTTTAAGGGTGTGATTTTCTTTTTCTCTTTTCCTTTTTTTTCCCCCCGTGGCTCAAAGAATTCACTGTTAGCTGCTAATTAATCACACGTACGGATACTATTTGGTGTGCATTTGTACACGTGACCGCATGTCTACTCCAGTGACATACTCTGCAGCAGCTGGAATGTACGTGGTGATTTTTACTCCATGATGTATTTACAGGGGAGTTGCTGCCCAGCTCAGGGTGCAGCATCTGG